CTCTTCTCCAAGTCCCCACTTCTTCTTCCTCTCCTTTAATATCCTCTCTTCTTTCTCCCTCCACACCGTTGCTTAACGGTTTCCTTCTTCTTCTTTTCTACCTTGTTTCCAACTTTACTCTTCTCCGGGAGAAAAATGATCTCATGGCACGACCTCTACACGGTCCTCACGGCCGTGATTCCTCTCTACGTCGCCATGATCCTCGCTTACGGCTCCGTACGGTGGTGGAAAATCTTCTCTCCCGACCAATGCTCCGGAATCAACCGCTTCGTCGCCATATTCGCCGTACCTCTCCTCTCCTTCCACTTCATCTCCACCAACAATCCTTACGCCATGAACCTCCGTTTCATCGCCGCCGACACTCTCCAGAAAATCATCATGCTCTGTCTTTTAGTCCTTTGGGCTAACTTCACCCGTTCCGGTAGTCTTGAGTGGAGCATCACGATCTTCTCTCTCTCTACACTGCCTAACACACTCGTTATGGGAATCCCTCTCTTGATCGCTATGTACGGTGAATACGCCGGTTCGCTCATGGTCCAAGTCGTTGTACTCCAGTGTATCATTTGGTACACGCTTCTTCTTTTCCTCTTTGAGTTTCGTGGAGCAAAGATGCTTATCATGGAACAGTTCCCTGAGACAGCTGCTTCTATAGTTTCTTTCAAGGTTGAATCCGACGTCGTTTCACTCGACGGTCATGATTTTCTTGAGACCGACGCTGCGATCGGCGACGACGGGAAACTTCACGTTACCGTGAGGAAGTCGAACGCTTCCCGTCGGTCGTTTTGTGGACCGAACATGACTCCACGACCGTCGAATCTTACCGGAGCTGAGATTTATAGCCTTAGTACAACTCCTAGAGGCTCAAATTTCAACCACTCTGATTTCTACTCCATGATGGGTTTCCCCGGTGGTCGTCTCTCCAATTTTGGTCCGGCGGATATGTACTCCGTTCAGTCCTCGAGAGGCCCCACTCCTCGACCTTCTAACTTCGAGGAGAATTGTGCTATGGCTTCTTCTCCAAGATTCGGGTATTACCCTGGAGGAGGAGGAGCCGGATCTTACCCGGCTCCAAATCCTGAGTTCTCCTCAACTACCACATCTACGGCTAATAAAGCCGTCAGTAAAAATCCGAAAGATGTCAACACGAATAATCAGCAAAATCTTGCAACTGCCGGGAAGGCGAATAATCATGACGCGAGCGCCAAAGAGCTCCACATGTTCGTGTGGAGCTCTAGTGGCTCCCCTGTTTCAGACCGGGCGGGTCTAAACGTTTTCGGAGGAGCCACCGATCTAGGAACTAACAACAACGAACAAGGTGGAAGATCTGACCAAGGTGCTAAAGAGATCAGAATGTTAGTCCCTGATCAATCTCAAAACGGCGAGACCAAAGGTTAGAAAAACCTTCAATAAAATTTCCAACTACATTCTGATCTCTATAAATTTTTTCTAAATTTGGCTTATGTGGTGGTGACTATAGCTCTAGCTCGTCCAGCGAGTGGTGATTTCGGAGGTGAACAATTTACTTTCGCCGGAAGAGAAGAAGAAGGAACGAAAGATGCCGAGAACGGACTGAACAAAAATGGTCCAAATTCCTCGGCGGAGCTACAATCAAAGACAGGCCTTGGAGCTACCGGAGGCGAAGCAAGTCACGGGAAACAGATGCCTCCGGCGAGCGTGATGACAAGGCTTATACTGATAATGGTGTGGAGGAAACTAATCAGGAACCCAAACACTTACTCTAGTCTCATTGGTCTCATTTGGGCTCTTGTTGCTTTCCGGTTAGTTAAC